CAGCAACCAACGCCACAGTGGTGGACAATTTGATCAGAGCTCCAGTCACCTGTATCCATGTCCAGAAGATACTGCGCTGCTTCCTGCCGATCACGGAAACTCAGCGGTGTTCCTTCCAGGTCTTCGTCATCGCAATCAGGCGCATACAAAAACGTCATATCGAGCAAAAGCTTGTTTCGAGCACGAATTTCTGGATCTGGCCTGCGCTGACTGAGTGGACAACACTCCAGATCCTTTGTCAAAAACAACACACACATTGCAAACATATTATTTGGCAAACCCCTGTCTCATGGTTAATGATTCATGATGGTGCACTTCATTTTGATGCAAAAAAATATATGTTGTACCCTGGCAACTCCTCACTCTGAAGTAAATCTGTTTTTGTGTTTGTTTCCTCCTCACTTTGCTGAACACACATACAAGCAGTCGACCTGTCATACACCACCGTAGCTGAATCAACCAAGCTCTTGATGTGGCACATCAGATCAAACATAGTGCAGCCGTTTCGCAATGTGGTACACAAGCAGAACCTGAGTTTTTGTCAATGTTATCGTTGACTATGTTTGACTCTAAGGAAAATCTCAACAATAAGGAAGTGAGCATCCTCGCACCACAGCCAAGACCCTTGCTGCTGTGTGAGTACATCAAGGGCACGCCAAACTGGTTCACTTACGTGATTTGCTGCATGCCTTGGAGTGAAGATGTGCAAACGGGAAACCATTCCGTTTGACTGGAGGTAAACTGCAACCTTGCAATGCAGCAACTGCAACACTGAGCAGATTTTTGTCAACAACAAAAAACATTATATATATATGATAATGATATAATTATATAATAGTACCATTAACATTTGCATGTATTGTATGAATGTCAATATCATATATATTTTACAGAAAATCATAGCCAAGTAACGAGTCACATTGCTTGAACATTCTCCAAGAGTTGGCAGGCAACTGCTGGAACAGGTAGCTAGCGACGCGAAGGTTTGCTCCTCCATGCGCTACAGCAGCTTAGCAGCTAACGCAAGAAACTTGAATGAATTACATGGTTCTTAAAATACTGTGTTTCTATATAATTGTTGTAAATGTTTATGGCTTATCGGTGAGAGGCCTGCGTTGTCACCGAGAAGACTAAGGCAAAGATGACGGCAATGATGACTCCAATCTGACAGCGCATATAAAGACATGTTTGGCTAGGCTTTGTTTCAAGCAGTCAAAACAAGTCATATTCATATTAATTTAGTCAAAAGGCACCTCCTTAAGTTAAAGCCCTTCAAACATAACATGCGTTTGCTCCTAGAAGAAAAACTAGAAAGCAACTCAAGACTCGTGACTCCAGACTCAGTAATCCATCAAACAAATGGCAAATGTCACTGTTTCAGTGTTCCCACCTAAGACTGGAATTGGCTGAGACTTCATCATTCCAGACCATATACTTTCACCAGTTGTGTCTTCGATGACAACCGGAGGAATGATAAAGCTGTGGTTCCTCAAGTGGCAAACGACTTTGGCGCATGTTGATTTATTAGGAGTTGAGCAGTTGAACTTAACAGACTCACAGTTATAGTTACGAGTCATCGTTTGCAATGCCAAAGCTGCAACTGGTGGGGTTTGGTTTGGTACACAAGTGAAACAAAAACTGAATATGTCATATATAAGGTTGCGAACGACTTGATTGAATCATTCAGCTTGTTTTTTATGTTTGCAACCCAAAGGGTTCATGTATTGTGTTTGTTCTTGTCAATGCTTATGAATCTAATTGCTATGTCATTCACAAGGAAAAACAACTAACCTACAATGACAGGATAGGTTTCTTGAAGTCACGCTCATCCTTGAAGGCGTTGGCGCCAGGAACTGTGAGCGACATTCTCTGAACCTAGGTCCACAAATTCAAAGGCTGAAGTAACACACGATCTACAGTAGACAACTCCAACATCATGTCACCAACGCAATGGAGATAGCGAGGGGAGACTACAGTCAGCAACAATACTTTATCTAGAGCACAATATGAACACATGTAACATGTACTGCAAGCCTACAGCTTGCTTAGAAGAAACAAACATGCTTGCTACTTCTGATGTATGATTGTAAGATTGATTGTCTCAATTAACTAGTAGTACATAATTATATAGTATAGTTATATAATATATATAAAGTAACAACGTCTTAACGAGTTTGCTTGTGTGCAAGCGACCAGAACTGGCATGACTCCTTGGACGTCTATCAGGCCCCGTCGCAACCTCACTTCTTGACCGGTCTCATCCCATTGTATAGAGAGCTTCACAAAGTCATCATAAACCTCAGGGTCAGCTAAGAACAATACTGGATACGATGGATTTGGTCCATCTATGAAACAACCAAAACAAGCAGCGGCTGTAATCAATCAAAGCACGCAGAACAACACCCACTAAGTCTGTTGTTTGATATATACTCATATATCCTCAGCCAAATCACCCGGCTCAGCGTATGGGCAACAAGCAACTGCAGCTTGAGGAAAGTGTGTGCAATAGCATTTCTCACCTTGGTCCCAATCAACAAAAAGAGCCATGTGATGTAATCATATAGATCTCTCAACTCATAACTCACAACAACAATAACTTATATACTTATCTCAACCTCACTTATCTCATAGTTCCCTGAACTCTCTCACAGCACATGCCACTCAGCAAGTGCAGTCAAGATGAGATCCTTATATCAAGAAGAGTTACGCTTCTCAAGTACTGAGTTGAACAGGATAGCCAGTATGCTGTCGAAGACAAAGAGAACATCGCCTCAGCGTACAGGACAGCTGTTGAAGACAAGGACAATATAGTCTGCACAAATCTTTTCCTAAAACAAGTTGTTAATTTGTTATAAAAAGGACAGAGGACCCAAGGGCTTGCTTTTGCTGCATGCTTATGTGCTGCTCTACTGGATGGCAAGGTGCTGGGGTTTGGTGCTTGGCTAGCGCACTCTTGTTGCGGATAGCTGAGATTGGTGGCATGTGCCGAACCTTGCTGCAAACTGCAAGACTGGCGACTTCTCGATCCTTGTGTAACTGAAGATTGACTTTGCAAGACAGCTGAGCCATTCCAAAACAAAGAAACGCTGATTTTAGCATAGTCTTTGCCGTGAAAGACTTGTATTTTCCACGACCTCGAACCCTATTCCGGACAGGCTTTCCACGACGTATTGAAAATAATTGATCTTGTCTCTCAGCCAAGGAGTTCACATGATTCACCAGTGTCCTCAGGGTAGCTCAGGCATAGCATAGGTCAGTAGTTGAGGCCAAAGCTAATGTAATGTGACCAATGCTTTGCTGTTCAACCCAGTTGTTCACGATTGAGACACCACACGCCACAAACAACATATGTTTGATGTTCTCAACCTACAAACAGCAAAAAAAGAGTCAGTAAAGATTCTGCAGTACACTATGCTGCCACAACACTTCACAGATTCTTTCTTGGAAACAGGACGTGGTCGTACTCGGCGTTTCTCTTGAGAACCTTGGTGATAATATAGTAGTGTAGCAAAGCTGAACAAATGAAAAGACATCATGGACCATGGAATCATTAATCATGGTCATGATCCCTCATTGTCATTGCTCCAGGGCGTCTCAGCCTACAGCCAAAACAAACACACCCTGCAGCGCAATGCAAGAAGCTGTTTCTTCGGGCTATAGTGTCCGATCCCAACGTTGCAATACCTTAGGCTTGTTGCTTGTGTGGCGCTTCTTTGTAGCGGAAACTCAAAAAAGCATACAATTTGCGAGGACTCACATCAAGCTGCCAAGCTATATAAAACCAACACGCTACACACGCTGCAAAAATGATTGAGCTTAGCTGCCATGACAAGCTTGTAGCAGGTTCCGAATGGACGCCATTTTCTCTAGGCAGCATCCATGGCAAGTTGCACCAAATGAATTCAATCCCTCAAAGTATTGCATGAGTGTTCAATGGTTCATGTTTCGTTTCAACATATATCAACATCACTGGTCACATCATTTGTTACATCTGATATATGTTGGGCATTCAAGGCTAATGTCCTATCCACATTGAATCGTCTTTATATACATTACATAGTCACATAGTTTTAAGTTTCTGGTGTAGTCACTGAGACTAGAACTAAAACCATTGTTTCATATGCTTTCCATCCAATGCACCATCAGCCGCTGCCCCCTGTTTTAGTTGGTTCACTTGTGTCCATTCATGCAACCCACACACTCAGTCAAATGAGAGAATGCCAGAATGACATTCACATGTTCAAACCAAAGATCAGCAATTAATCCTCAGGTACAAGGTTTACTCACGCACTCAGCAGTTAAAACTTGTGTGATTGCAAACGCTATATACCTGGACATGCTGCCTGCCAATCATGGCAGGTGCTGACAGCATCAGGAGGATCATTATCAATCCTTCTGCAACATAGCCGCTACATAGACCAAGGACACATATGAATCATATGATATGAAGTAGATGTGCTGAGAAAGAGCGTCCGCGCAAACCACTGCAGCACTTATATCACACCCGTACCACATACACATGACCACGTACCAACCATGCGTACCACGTACCCGTGCCACGTACCAACCATGCGCACCACGTACCCGTACCACGTACCAACCATGCGT